CGGGGTGGAGCCTCTCCGTGTAAACCTTTGTTGAGTATCCTCGGGCCATAACGATATAACTAACCCTTGGCTCCTTCGTAAACTAAAGACTCACATTCGTAAGTCGAGTCGGTAAGTTCCAACTAATGACTCACTCTTCCCAAGGAAAGCAAGTTTAGTACAAGGACCTGTAACGTGCTGTCCAACTTTGAATGTGCCACAAGAAAGTAACCACCATCTTACTGATAATAATTTATCACTGTACTGGCTAGGTTCTCAAAACAATACAACCACATTTCTTGACAAAACGCGATACTTGTTTCTTCTCCTCTGTAAAACAATGTAAGTTTACTAAACGAGTGGAATCGTTTTAGCAGAATACTAGCAGAAGTTACTGTACATGTTTACTTAGGTTAATGTTTTAGGAATTTAGTAATATTGACCGATAGCATAAAGACCGTGTAAAATGGTTCAAGTTTTAATGTCACCTATTACAATTGTAAAATGCATTTTCAGACATATATTTGTAGGCTAGATCTGTACTTGGACCTCAAACCTCCTTACCTTAAGAAATATGTTAGTTGGAAATATATGGTTTTAAACTATTTATAGGTTGCTCTATATAATGAACAGTACAATAACTACAATAAATTTCACTTTACTTTCCTTTAAAATTGTTTATTATACGATTTTTTTGAGATCACGAATACACTTGAATGCTATAAAGCCGAGAACAATAATATCTCAAGTGGGGTTAATGAATGTTGACTTACTTTCACCTTTCAGATACTTCAAAATGGCTGCCTTTATCTATCTCGGAAATGTTTTCCTGTATTTTTTAACACTAGTTCCTAAAGGTGAGAAGTATACTTTTGTAGATCAGTGTGATACGGGACTAAATCTTCTAGATGCGACTGACTCTCACAACTCCCAAATAAGCTTTACGTTAAATACTTTATTACAGAGTGACTTACTCTTGACTTTCACTTCACAGTTCTTCTATGGCCCTTCACAACTTCTTTAACAACTTGTCTCAACAATGTCTTCTTCAACTGAACCTTGTTCTTATGCAGTTCACTTTCTTTCTCTCTAAAATCTACTCCGTCGCATCTCGCTATTTATTTGTTTGGTTGTTAACCATATGTTTACGTTGATAATATATTATTAACATATATTACCTTGTTACGCCAAAATCCTTTAAAAAGCCTTTCTTCGGTTCTGAAGGAGAATAACCAGTAAAGGAAACAAACTAAGCAAGTTCAGTAAAAGGAACACACTTTTACGCAGTGTCTTGTAAGAGTGACTTATAAGAGTCCGCTTGGATTTGGAGAAAATCGACAAAATCAATTTTCTTCGTCGGCGACTTGAAAACAACCAAAATTTGCAGCAAAATGAGGCGGTCTCAAAACTTCGCTCGCACGCAAAAAGGAAGAAAGTGTGGTAAAGTATCCCCCGATAAATCAATTTATAAAGGGTTTTAGCCCTAGTATGGCGGTTAATTCTTATCTTAACGGTAATGTGGAAGGTAAACAATTTTATTTTAGTTTTGGTTCTTTTTCCAGTGAACGAAGTTTAAATTTAGGCTTATTAAGTCGCGATTTAATTTTTAGGCATGTGCTACACATTGGCTATAACTTAGTTAAACATTGTGCTAAAACATATGTAAAAACTGGCCTGGGTAATTTAATTTGCGCTCCAGACGAACCTTCTGAACTTGAACAAATTTTGAGAGAAATATGACACATCTGCAAAATTCAACAACGCCTTGCTGTTGCCGAAACGGATCATTGGCGTTTCCTGAGAAGAAATCTGATGTACTTCTATAGTACGACTTGCTATTAAACATGCAATTGGAATTATCTTACCTTTATAGTATGGAGCACTTTTTTCACTTTTTCGACACTCAAGCTCCAAACTCTGCCGGCGCTAACACATTTTGTAATTTGAACTAAGACAACTAAGTTAACGACGACGACGTCTGTTGCCTGGGAAAAGACTGGAACGAGAACGTCAGTTTCGGCGGGAAAAAATTATTCGGGAAAAAGGAAACTTAAGATGCAGTGGGTCGGTAGGTCGACGATGACGACACTGAATGTAAACAGAAATGTAAAACTGTGATGTTTGTTCGCATCTTTTAAAACAATGCAAGATCTTATTTTTTAAGCCGTACGTCTAATGTCATTAGGGAACTTAAGAACCACGACGGTGTTCACGACGACGTCTGTTGACTGGGAAAAGACTGGAACGAGAACGTCAGTTTCGGCGGGAAAAAGGAAACTTAAGAGGCAGTCTCCCTAAAAGCGGTCCACTCGATTTCGCGACAAAAAATACTTTTGCTTTATTTTTTGTCGGTGAAGAGGCTTTAGTAGGTGTATACTAAAATCGCTATTTTTGTTTTCAAATTCTTATTCTTAGCTCTGCTACAAGCCAAAAACGAATTGAGTCCGTCTCGGCTTCTCAGAGAGTGTTTCGAAGACTAAAATTAATGGATTTTGAAAAGCGCGTTGCAAACAACCGAATG